TCGGACGAATACACCGACTTGTAGTGTCTCTGCTTCCGTTGTGCGTGAGGAATATCTTCAACAAGATATCTGTCGTTCGGCAGGACCTTGTTGATTATAAAAGGACCTTTATAGCGAGGCTCCAATTTGCGAGATGTGCCCGTGCTGAATGGCTCATTCTCGACCAACACAAGGTCTCCAAGGCTGTACACAGTTGGCTTTGCATGTTTGGCATCGTAGCGTTTCTTGGCAGTAGCTCGATGATCGTTGACAGTTTTCGCAGCATCTGCTCTAAGCTGATTCAATTCCGCATCTGTTAGCATCTTTTGGTCCTGGCTTTGAATGATGTTGGTTATGGCGTTCTTCAAGATATCTCGGGGTTCATAACCGTACAGGAGCTGAAATGGGGAGCATTTAGTAGTACTATTTACCATGGTATTGATGCTCCACTGGATTGATCGAATGTTGTCATCCCAACGCTTATCGATGTCATTCGATGGCAACAACATAGACAAGATGATTCGGTTTGTTCGCTCTGCGTGACCATTGGCTCTGGGTGTCCTTACAGCATTTAAGATATGTTTTACATTGTTTGATTTGCAGTACTTCTCGAAGTCTTTGGATGTAAAAGCTGTTCCACGATCGGTGACAATGCGATCTGGCATTCCCAGGTAGCTGGTTACCTCTTGCAGGACATCCAGGACATGTTTTGTTGCTGTACTTTTCACTGCTCGTACGATGGTGAATTTGGTGAATGCGTCGACTATCACGAGAATATGCTCGTTCTCTTGGAACTCTTTGGAAATGGTCCCAGGTGGTCCATATGAATCGTGGAAAAGGGGATCGGCTTGATGTCATCGTAGTGGTATTGACCTTCCTGACGTCCACCTGGTGTTTTATAAAGCGCACAGCCCACACATGACTTGATGTAGCTTTTTACATAGTTTCGCATTCGGGGAAACCAAAACATATTTAGAATTGGTGCCATTGTCTTATCTGTGCTCATATGTCCGGCCTTATCGTGACATTCATGTAGAATGTGGAATCTTAACTGCTTCGGCACAACCCATAACAAATTGTCGTTAAGTTTTCGAAACAAGCGATCTTGCTCAATCACGTACTCGTCGGTTTCAGCTTTCTTTTTCAACTTCATGTCTGCAACAATTTTCTGAATCTTCTCGTCTTGTAGTTGTATAGAAAATAGCCAATCCTCTTCGTCGATTATGGTCTTTGCTATCTTCAGACATGCAGTATCCATCTCTCGAGCATCTTCGAATGGAGCTCGACTGAGTGCGTCTACATGGTTCATATGGGTCCCTGCTCGATGAACGATGTCTATGTCGAATTCCTGAATACGCAACCACCATCTTGCGATCCGGGGTATTAGTTCTCTTTTTTCCATCGACGTCTTAAGGGCATTACAGTCGGTGACAATCTTTATCTTCTTGCCATAAATGTAATATTTAAATCGCTCCAATGACTCCACGACGGCTAGAGCCTCAAGTTCGTAGCTGTGATAATTCTTCTCCGGTTTGGAAGTAGCTCGGCTATAATAAGCGATTGGTTTCAGCTGATCCAACTCACGCTGTAGCAATACTCCGGCTAAACCAACGGCACTGGCATCCGTATGTAGTTCATGCTCTGCGTCTAGGCGATAACTAATGACAACTGGATTTGAGATTAGACAATTCTTCAACTCGTCGAAGGCTTCTTCTTGTGGCGTTTTCCAAGTAAACAGCTTATCCTTGAGCAATAGACTTCTCAATGGCGCTGAAATTATAGCATACCCAGCAACAAATTTTCGGAAATAACCTGTGAGACCCAAAAACCTTCTCACATCGGTAACATTTGCTGGTTTCGGAAACATTCTGATGGCGTTCGTCTTAATTTCTCCAGGACTGATTCCTTCTGCGTGTATCTGGTGACCAAGGAATGTGATTGACTGCTTATATAACTCACATTTGTCCAGGTTTAACGTTAATCCGCACTCCTTTAAGACTTTCAGGATCCTAGCAAGCTTCTCGTACATCTCATCAAATGTTTGGCTGCCAATAAGGATGTCGTCCATGTAGTGTATCATATCGCCTTTCTGCACCCTCTTCTGTAGCTCTGCCATGAGTCGATTGAAAACTGCAGGTGCGTTCTTCAATCCGAACGGAAGTCGCTTGAACTCGTACAATCCCTCTGTGGTGATGAACGCTGTATACTTTCGGCTCTCTGGTGCTATCTCTATCTGATAGTATCCACTGTTGAGATCCAGGGATGAGAAGTACTTAAATCTTTTCGCCTCCTGCAGACGCTCTTCGATGTTCAGCACTGGGAAATTCTCCTTCTTTATCAGCTTATTCAGGCGGCGGTAATCGACGCACATTCGATCGCTACCATTTGGCTTCTTGATGAGCACCACCGGGCTGGCGTACTCTGACGTTGACATCGTGATCACATCCTGTTTTAGCAGCTCGTCGACCATTCTGCTAACGACTTCCTTCTTTGGCTCCGAAACTCGGTATGGGGCTTGTGCTACTACCTGATTGCTTTCGACGGTGATGTGTGCTTTGACCACGCTTGTCTTTCCTATGCCTTCCAATCCTGTCGAGAAAACATCGGCGAACTTCTCCAGTAAGCTGCGCATTTGCTCACTTTCCTTGTCGCTCTGAAAATTTTCCAGAAGCTTTACGATCTTGGTAGCATTTACAGGGGTTGTCGGCTGATGGACTGCTCGTTGGATTTTTGAATCGCCTGACTCAAAGTTGAGCTCGAGATGAGCGGAGATGATGACGTCCTGTCCCAATAGAAAATCCTCTAGCAATAGATCGTCGTCCGCTATATACACCTTTGCTGTGATCGTCTTCCCATCGATTCCTATATCCACAGTCATCGCTTCTGTAAGGATTCGTGAACCTCCGCAGATGCCTGTTATCTTCATAGAGCACTTGTGGCGCTTGGCGTTGATTTGCTCGGCAACTGCTTGTCGGATGAGACTGGCTTGACTACCTGTGTCGATGAAAGCGCTGTAATCGTGCGAGTGTACGCAGATTTTCCGGGTGAACAGATTGTCCTGATTTGCGGCTCCTAAACGCATGACATTCGTAGCTTGGCAACGTCCGTTTGGCTCGTGGAACTTGTTGCATTTGGTACAGCGTGACTTTTTGCTCTCCTTTGGACACGAATTAGCAAAGTGCCCCATTTCTCCGCAATTGTAACACTTCAGGGATTCCTTCGACCTTGGCGGCTTAACTTCGGTGTCCTGCTTCGGCTCGAAGTTGCTGGCTTTTGTTGAATATGGTTTCTGGGTCGTACTCGGCCTGCCTCTGTAAAGAAAATAAGACTCAGCTGCATCTCGAAGTTGTTTCATTGTTGAGAAATGAATTGCTGCAATACTATTTTGCAATTCTCGATGTTGTAGACCAGAGCGAACATATCTGATGATCGCTGCCTCGCTGAGCTTGTATCGCACCCCAAGGGCTGACATCCTGAAACAGTACTCCTTTACCGTCTCCTTTGATCGCCTGGTTGCATTGGCCATGTTGAAATGCACTTCTGCTTCGTCTGGATTGGCACCAAACTCGTCCTGTATAGCATCGGCGAAGTGCTTCCATGTAGTATGTAGAACGGGTGATGAATCTAGCCACATCTTGGCTGGACCTTTTAGCCTGGTATAAATGGCAAGTAACAGGAACTTCTCGTCCCACTGGTAGGCATCAACCACTTTGTTGACACGATCGATGAACTGTTCGACTGAAATGGCACTGTCGTCGCTGGGATCATATTCTGGCAAGGTGTTGGCAATTTCCTTGACTGAAGCTTGCCTCACGTTGTTCGTAGCCTGTACAGGAATGTTCCTCTCGTTGCTGATTTCGTCGATATCCAAATCGATAATTGGCTGCTGTTGCTGCTGATAATTTTCTGCCTGTGCAGGTGCTGCGTTTCCCATTTGAACGGTAACTAATTGCGCTAGCATGTCCTTTAGTTCCTTCATTTCGTTCTGCAATTGAGAAATTGCTGCTGACTGAGCTGACATCGCTTCTTCTTGCTGCATGGTGAGCCCCACTGATGCTGGCAACTCGACGTCCTCTGATTGTTCAAATTCTATTAATCTTTGCACCAATTCGGCTCTCGTGCCCGAAACTGACGCGTTTCTAGATCTTAGCAGGAATCTTAACACATCGCACTTAAGTTCTGCTATCTTCGGCATTTCTGGCAATTCCTGGTATTTTTGACTACTAGGTGCAAGCGAGACAACTATATGTACCTCACAAAGTTGTGCATCTGCTTGTTCACTCTACGAATACACACAAACTCCTTGTATGCTTCTAGAGAATTCGGCTTCTAGAGAATTCTTATTTTCTTCGAATTGTGAAATTCACCAATACTCACAACTGGTTTGTGTGTATGTGCTCTGGCTTCTCTTGAGACTTCTGCTGCTCTTGAGACTTCTGCGGCCACAGGCTCACTAAGAATCCTGATCTTACTCCTTTGCTTGAGTCCACGGGTTCACTAAGACTCCCGATCTGATTCGCTTGAAACCGCCTGCCACGTAGAACTGGAACACATCCGTAATCTGCAATTTCCGTTGTCACATAGACCTTTGGGAACACATCCCATTGCAAACTTTCCACGCCGACGATTTTCGCTGCTTTTCCTAGAGTTTTTGGCACAACTCCTCCGCTTCACACATATCCAACCACACTAATCTCACTTCTGAACTGTAAAGGGTAGCTTTTCGAGTGGTGTAGGTTTATTTAGGGATAATTAGGTTGAATATATATTACATATTAAATTGTAACTTAAAGCGTCTTAACACGTTCTGCCCAGGAGTACGACTCTATTTCGACTGCCAATAATTATAAGTCTGGTAACACTATCAAAAGGGACTTATCGATACTTTTCGAGGGTTGATGACGATATACTAAATTAGGCGCTGGTCACAATAGCCAATGGAAATAAAAAAAACGAACCGGCAACGGTGTTCCCCAGCTATTCGACCAGAAAACGTCAGACCCTCTACAGAGCAAACAACATTTGAGCAATAAAAAATATAATTTCAACAACCGTATCAGTTGATAAGACTGATAAGACAACTAGATATTTCGGACTATAAACAACATACATATACACAAAATCATCTACTGTTTCTTGACCTTATCAGCATGGGGGCACCTTTGTTTCTTGCCCCCAAGTAATTTGCAAGATAACTTTAGGATGAGTAGGACAACCAATAGAGGAACTCCAAGGAGAACCACCCAGGTGTCCAAGCTGTGGAGTTGAATGAAGTTGAGGTCCCGGGCGGTGGCACGCAGGTGGGGAGCACCTTTGTGTCTGATTACATATTCCGTCCACCAGACGGCGCGATCGAGAGCCGATTCCGGCTGATCGCGATACCGCTCCGAAATGGCAGCCGATGCTTGGGCGTAACTGGGATCGTTAAGCAGCGTGTGGATGGCCTTTTCCAGATCCTCTTGCTTCAGATTGTTCAGATCCAAACCCAATCCGAAGCCCGTTCGCTGGGCGCGCTGCACATTCATGTACTGATCATAGAAACAGGGCAATCCCAGCACGGGTTTGCCAAAATAAACACTCTCTATGGTGCTCAGCAGGCCACCGTGAGTGATGAATATCTTTACATTCGGATGGGCCAGGATATCTGGCTGGGGATACCATTTCTTGATCAGGACATTCGCTGGCTTACCGGGCATCTGGTCGTCTTCGAATTTCCACAGAACCCGCTGCTTAAGTTTTGCAAAGGTTTTCAGCAGCGTGTCGCGGGTTTCCTGAGGCAGATCCTTACTCTTCACATTGGAACCCATGGAGAAGTATATAACGCCATTGGGCGAACCCTCAATGAACTGCTTAATGTCCTCGGGAAGAGGTTTCGGCTTATGGGATATTTGCATTCCACCAACTTCAATCATATTGGGCAAATAGGGTCGCGGATGGCTCAGAGAAAAGTGCTGACCCAGCAGAATTAGCGAAAAACTGTCCAAGACTTCTTCCATTGTTTTCTTCGCATTCGGGAAATACTTTTTGTAAATTGTTTGCATATGAGGCAGGTGAACAAAATATCGATGAATATCCTCCACAAGGGCATCATAGTGATTTTCCAAGCGTTCCAGGAAGGTCATCTTGTCGGTACGGGGAGAGGTCACCAGTGGGTTATACGAAATGGGTGATATATTGCCTGCAGCCTCATCAATCTTTCGATCTGTACCATAACTGGAGAATCCAACCAAAGTGGCATTAAAATGCTCCGCGAAAGCATAGAGAGGCTCCATTTGGAGCATCTCCGCCAGCACCACATCAAAAGTTTCTCCAGAATTTATCAGCTTCTTGACACCCTCATCTTCCAGCGTCGTCTCCACAAATCTGGTTAAAATGTAATCCATTGCATTAAGCTGCTGCCACAATATCGGCACATTCAGCAGACCCATCATTTCTGTAGGATAACACAATATAATAAAAATAGGTATATATTTACACACCACAATTAAAAGTTATTAATCTTAAGAAATAATAATTCTCTCAAGTTAATTATATAAAAGATTGCCCTCTCTTAAGACGCTTTTATATACTTTGTAAAAACTATTTTCCTAACAAAATATATTGCAAAGATACATTTTGTCACATAAGCTTAATAAGTAATTCTCAAATGTAGAATATAATACTTTAAATAATATTATTGAACTAATACACACCGTCAGTGTATTCGTGCGCTTTAAGAGCCTCGATGAAGCGCATGTTGGGCGTTGCCTTATTTTTGAAGGCGTTTATTACTGTCACCTGGTGACCCTTCGCGGCCAAGGCCTTTAGGTAGGACTCCACGAATATGTACTGCGAACGACCCGGAAACGGCAAGGTAGCCAAAATCTTCGCACTTTGCGTTTCAAGCGGTTTGGCGCTTAAAGCGCAGAACACAAACGCGATCACAGCCAATAATCTCATGGTTACTAAACGAGTCTCTAGCAACGACTAATTGAACAGATCGCTAAAGCTACTCTATATATGTATATATATGCTGAGCTTTTGCTGATAGTGAGCGAGCTTTAGAGCAAAGAGCGCTCAATCATGCTGATGAAGGGCATTCATTTTTGAATTTTCATCATTGAGGAATCAGTCGGCACTTCTGAGCATTTCAAGTTAGGGTAGTCCGAGCTGGGATTTTTTTGACTTGTGGCTATCCGTATTATCTTTATAGGTTCTCCAGGTTTGCTGATGAAATAGCACTTTCTATGAGGGACCTTAATCTATTTCACATTTTGTTTGAACATTACGAAATGCGATTCGAGAGAGATTTTGGCAAGGCGCTCCTGGTACGTGATGGAACGAGCGTGTTGGTAAAGGTTTTCGGTTCATTATCTTCAATTCCGGTATTGGTATCGGCACGTATAGGTACGGCAATCAAGTTGTTTAACATATAAAAGCATCTTAACCTTTCTTACTTTTCTTTATAATTGATCAGTTATTGACCATATTAACAGAAAAATGTATAGTTACTGCTTACTTATTTTTCGTGTTAAGTTTACACTTACTATTAAATTTAGTAATATGATTTGTATTATTACAAAATATTTTTGATATTTTAATATGAAAAATAACATTTGGTTGTATATTGCGAGCAATAATAAAGGAATAATATTATAGCATCAAAAGTACTTTATGAAATGAATCGACCGCTAACTTAAATAAAAATGATTTACGATTATCTTTTTAGATATATATAAACTTATAATCTGAATGATAAGCTCGTTATTTGGAAGGGCTTGTTCGAAAACAAGAAAGTTCTAATTCTTCTTAACGAACAAGCCCCTCCAATTAAGGAAAACACAATCAAATAGAGTTTATTCTCGTGAAAAGCGCTTTAATTCCTGTTCCGATATTAATTCCTCAATTTGTGCCAACTACTTAAACTTGGCAAGCTGCCAACAAGCTTTTAAAGATCTTCCCGTGGAGCGGAATCCATCGGACCGAGTGCTAGGCAAATTCCCCAAAGAATGTGCGTGAGAAGTGCAGGCCAAACAAGCGGAGGAGGCAACTAAAAACAAAACGCACAACAGGGAGCAGCGCCAAAGGACGAGAACAAGGCTCAAAACGAGGACCAATGCAGCTGGCCAGTTGGGAATTGGCCGGTGGAGACGAAACTCGGCGAAGCATAAAAGCCAAAGCGCTGCCTAAGAAAAGAAATTATTTGCTTAAGCGACGGCAAAGGACCTTGTCCGGAGTTTCCTTTTTCCCGGAACAAAGCACCCACACACCCACACACACAGCCAGACAAAGAACAACAGGAATGGAAATAAGCAGAAGGAAAAGAAAAGAGGGAAAAAAGGAAACTGAGTGGGCAAAATATTAAACTTTTATGCACGAAAATTTTGAAGTGTATGTCCGGCGGGAAAAATTGTTACTGTTAATTTATAAATAAGGTGGAGTTGTTATTGTGGGCTTCTGACGGAATGTCCGCCAGTCCCTTCCGAAACGCCACAGTGGTACCCCTTTTTAACCCACCGGCACCCACCACATCCCGGGCTATTTGTTTTCACTTCAATTTATTTGCTTTCTTGCGCACATTTTCACTCCCTAGACCTTGTTTACTCCTTTTATCCACCAGACCAACATTATTCTTTCTTTTTCTTTCTTGAGGGTCTCCGAGCTCCTTTGCTCCTCATTTCTGTGGCCTTTTCTTTTGCCGTTTATTACAGGGCTTTTCTTTTGGTCTGCCCCGGATCGCCTTGCAACTTGATTCAATTAAGTTGCCTGATTATTTTAGCTAAAAAAAAGATGATACCAAATAGGCCAGGAGAAAGAGGGAAATACCCACTTTTTTTCTTTCTTTGGTTAGCAATTTTAATTTTTTAATAAAAGGCATGTGTAAGGCGATAGCTCCACAAGTGTTCCACTGAGGGCTATCTTGTGGTTTCTGGTGCCCTTTGTATTGGTTCATCATCCTCTTGGAGTGGTAGGGGTCGGCTCAAGTTCGGCGTAAGTCAACAACTGATCCAGGGTTAAGAAAAGGTCAATAGGCTGTTCACTTTTCAACGGATATGCTCGAGAAGAGGGCCCTTTCTAATGGCCAAGTGTAATGCAAACAACTAAGCACAAGGCAATCAGGAAACAGGATGAGAAGCAACACAGTCCTAATTCAAGAGAACGTTAAGTTTTCCATTTCCCTGAGATTATTTAAGTAGTTTTTAAATATTCCTCAAAATATTTAGATTATTATTTTTAATGAGCCATTTCTGACTTCATTCATAAAATTAAACAAAAATAATAAAGTAAATTTTAATGTAAATAAAAAAATACTAAAGCAAACAAACAGTGTTTAATATAGGAATTTCTTAAGACTTGTGCTGCTATATCTATTATGAAATAGTGTTTATTGTAGTGTTATTGCCCACGTAAATGCACTCATTTTATCTCAAAAAGCGATAAATTAGTACTTAAACTGGCATACTAACATGGCATAATCTGAACTGCTCGGAAACTGCCCGACAAAACTTGTCTTTATTTCTTTCTTGGACTAAATGCTCTTGGCCTGTATTCGACTCGTCTCGTCAGTGGAAAGGCCTGAACAACATTAATCAGGCTTACCTTGTCGTGCAGTTTTCCCCACCCATAGACAAACCCACACATGTCTGAATAGCAAGGATGAAAGGAATTATCCGAAAGGCTGAAGAACGAATAGCAACAGCTGCCCCATTGACGTTGCTTAAAGTGCAAATGCAATTTATTTGCAACAAGCACTTGGTGCACATGCAACAATGGCTGGCCAGGAATTGAGATTGGAAGAGCTGTGGAACAATTTGCCCATAAGTAAAAATCATTTTTCATTTGTTTTCATTTCCGTTTTATGAAGCATTTTGATTTCTGCATAGTTTCCGCAGCACACCAGTTCCTCCGACTCTTTCACACGTCCCTATCCCTTTATATCTTTTCTCTTTCCCTCGGACTGGGGACATTAGGGAAAGTTAAATGACGGACACAAGGACCTCGGCTATGCTGCTCCTGCATACCTGAAATTCACTCGGCCAGGACCAAGTTGAGTCTTTGCAAGATGCAACTTTGGAAATTCGCAACACACTCACTCGCTCGAAGAATGCCAGTCAACGTTGACAATCGACTTTTATTGCTGTTGAAAAGGACCAGTAGCAAGGACCAAGCAAAAAAACAAGATCGGAAATATCCGGAACGAGCTGAAAAAGAAACGCACGTATTCACTGAAAACAAGAAAGGAAAGCTAACTTCGGGCGGAGCCGAAGTTGATATACCCTTGCAGAATACTCTGTAAATTATATTCTCCAAAATTATTCATATGATGCATTCTTAATACCCATAAAAAATCCCAACTTCCTAACTTTAAAAACACCAAAGTTATGACATTTCCAATCGTTCAGTTATATGGCAGCTATAGGATATAGTCGGCCGATCCTTATGAAATTTGGTAGGTCGGATTGGGTGGCCAAATATAACACCCATAGAAAATGCCAACTTCCTAACTTTACAAACACCAAAGTTATGGCATTTCCGATCAATCAGTTATATGGAAGCTATAGGATATAGTCGGCCGATCCTTATGAAATTCGGCATGTCGGATTGATTAGCCAAATACAAAACCCATAGAAAATCCCAACTTCCTAACTTTACAAACACCAAAGTTATGGCATTTCCTATCGTTCAGTTATATGGCAGCTATAGGATATAGTCGGCCGATCCCGGCCGTTCCGACTTATATACTGCGTGCAAAGGAAAGAAGGGTGTGTGCAAAGTTTCAATTCGATATCTTTAAAACTGAGAGACTAGTTCGCGTAGAAACAGACAGACGGACAGACAGACGGACAGACAGACGGACAGACAGACGGACAGACAGACGGACAGACGGACAGACGGACATGGCTATATCAACTCAGGAGGTGATCCTGATCAAGAATATATATACTTTATATGGTCGGAGATGTCTCCTTCACTGCGTTGCACACTTTTGACCAAAATTATAATACCCTCTGCAAGGGTATAAAAAGTTAAAATATAACTCCTAATTGTAATTTTCTCATCGATTATCTTTAAACATTATGCTTAACCTTAACCCTAAACAACTGCTATTTTAAAAAATTATAATATTTTTTCATCGATAAAAAAATATTTTCTTAATGTCATTTAAAATCTGTGTATATTAAGACTTTCCCGGCCTTTCAAGGTGGAAAAGTAGTTTTTATATTAAGAACTAGAATCTTTAGTATTAACAAAAGTATTGATTTGATGACTAATATTTTTTTCTCTGTACCATTGACTTTGTCAACTCCCAGTTATTACGTTTTGTTTAACATTTCAGCAAATTACACTGCATTGTCTAGAGCTCTGGAGTGAAGTGGAAATCTTCGTTTTCTTTGCGTTTTTCCCCATTCGACAAGTTTTTTGACATTTTTTTTTCTTCCTTTTCGACGTACTGACCTCGCCCGGATTGTGCAATTGCATAAGCACAATTTCCGGTTGGCACTAAGAAAATATCTGCAGCAGAAAAGCAAATGACGATGGGATGAGATTTGGATTCGAAGCTTACTTACTCTATGAGAAATAAATATGCTATAAAGACTTATGGAATTAAAATTTACAATATATGAATATATTGCAAAATAAAATATCCAATTTCTTGCAGACAACAGCATGGATGGTTTATGATTTTAAACTTCTACTTTAATGCTTTTTTTAATAAATTTCCAGCTTTGTTTAACGTCAAGAATTTGAATATAAATCGGTTAACGTTTTTTGCTTACTTTAGTTTTCAACGTATCCTTCACCCAATCCTTTCACTTTTATTTCTCACCCGAAAACGTCGTATCTGTCGCTTGCAAGGATGTCCAAAAGTATGTTACACTATTTTTGAAGCCAGTGACAGGAAATTGAAAAAGTGTGGGGCGTGAACAGCAATTTCAGGAAATAAAGAAAAAAGAAATAGTTTCCCTTAATTAAGTGC